GGTAGAAGTGGTAACTAATTCACCTTCAGAGTCGGTAGTGGTGTAGTAAGAGATGACATCGGTTTCAGTGTGGCTGCCAGAAGTGATAGTGGTGGTGACTGGAGCTGGAACACCAGAAGAAGTGACTGGGTAGGTGGTAGAAGTGGTAACTAATTCACCTTCAGAGTCGGTAGTGGTGTAGTAAGAGATGACATCGGTTTCAGTGTGGCTGCCAGAAGTAATAGTGGTGGTGACTGGAGCTGGAACACCAGAAGAAGTGACTGGGTAGGTGGTAGAAGTGGTAACTAATTCACCTTCAGAGTCGGTAGTGGTGTAGTAAGAGATGACATCGGTTTCAGTGTGGCTGCCAGAAGTGATAGTGGTGGTGACTGGAGCTGGAACACCAGAAGAAGTGACTGGGTAGGTGGTAGAAGTGGTAACTAATTCACCTTCAGAGTCGGTAGTGGTGTAGTAAGAGATGACATCGGTTTCAGTGTGGCTGCCAGAAGTGATAGTGGTGGTGACTGGAGCTGGAACACCAGAAGAAGTGACTGGGTAGGTGGTAGAAGTGGTAACTAATTCACCTTCAGAGTCGGTAGTGGTGTAGTAAGAGATGACATCGGTTTCAGTGTGGCTGCCAGAAGTGATAGTGGTGGTGACTGGAGCTGGAACACCAGAAGAAGTGACTGGGTAGGTGGTAGAAGTGGTAACTAATTCACCTTCAGAGTCGGTAGTGGTGTAGTAAGAGATGACATCGGTTTCAGTGTGGCTGCCAGAAGTGATAGTGGTGGTGACTGGAGCTGGAACACCAGAAGAAGTGACTGGGTAGGTGGTAGAAGTGGTAACTAATTCACCTTCAGAGTCGGTAGTGGTGTAGTAAGAGATGACATCGGTTTCAGTGTGGCTGCCAGAAGTGATAGTGGTGGTGACTGGAGCTGGAACACCAGAAGAAGTGACTGGGTAGGTGGTAGAAGTGGTAACTAATTCACCTTCAGAGTCGGTAGTGGTGTAGTAAGAGATGACATCGGTTTCAGTGTGGCTGCCAGAAGTGATAGTGGTGGTGACTGGAGCTGGAACACCAGAAGAAGTGACTGGGTAGGTGGTAGAAGTGGTAACTAATTCACCTTCAGAGTCGGTAGTGGTGTAGTAAGAGATGACATCGGTTTCAGTGTGGCTACCAGAAGTGATAGTGGTGGTGACTGGAGCTGGAACACCAGAAGAAGTGACTGGGTAGGTGGTAGAAGTGGTAACTAATTCACCTTCAGAGTCGGTAGTGGTGTAGTAAGAGATGACATCGGTTTCAGTGTGGCTGCCAGAAGTGATAGTGGTGGTGACTGGAGCTGGAACACCAGAAGAAGTGACTGGGTAGGTGGTAGAAGTGGTAACTAATTCACCTTCGGAGTCGGTAGTGGTGTAGTAAGAGATGACATCGGTTTCAGTGTGGCTGCCAGAAGTGATAGTGGTGGTGACTGGAGCTGGAACACCAGAAGAAGTGACTGGGTAGGTGGTAGAAGTGGTAACTAATTCACCTTCAGAGTCGGTAGTGGTGTAGTAAGAGATGACATCGGTTTCAGTGTGGCTACCAGAAGTGATAGTGGTGGTGACTGGAGCTGGAACACCAGAAGAAGTGACTGGGTAGGTGGTAGAAGTGGTAACTAATTCACCTTCGGAGTCGGTAGTGGTGTAGTAAGAGATGACATCGGTTTCAGTGTGGCTACCAGAAGTGATAGTGGTGGTGACTGGAGCTGGAACACCAGAAGAAGTGACTGGGTAGGTGGTAGAAGTGGTAACTAATTCACCTTCAGAGTCGGTAGTGGTGTAGTAAGAGATGACATCGGTTTCAGTGTGGCTGCCAGAAGTAATAGTGGTGGTGACTGGAGCTGGAACACCAGAAGAAGTGACTGGGTAGGTGGTAGAAGTGGTAACTAATTCACCTTCAGAGTCGGTAGTGGTGTAGTAAGAGATGACATCGGTTTCAGTGTGGCTGCCAGAAGTGATAGTGGTGGTGACTGGAGCTGGAACACCAGAAGAAGTGACTGGGTAGGTGGTAGAAGTGGTAACTAATTCACCTTCAGAGTCGGTAGTGGTGTAGTAAGAGATGACATCGGTTTCAGTGTGGCTGCCAGAAGTGATAGTGGTGGTGACTGGAGCTGGAACACCAGAAGAAGTGACTGGGTAGGTGGTAGAAGTGGTAACTAATTCACCTTCAGAGTCGGTAGTGGTGTAGTAAGAGATGACATCGGTTTCAGTGTGGCTGCCAGAAGTGATAGTGGTGGTGACTGGAGCTGGAACACCAGAAGAAGTGACTGGGTAGGTGGTAGAAGTGGTAACTAATTCACCTTCAGAGTCGGTAGTGGTGTAGTAAGAGATGACATCGGTTTCAGTGTGGCTGCCAGAAGTGATAGTGGTGGTGACTGGAGCTGGAACACCAGAAGAAGTGACTGGGTAGGTGGTAGAAGTGGTAACTAATTCACCTTCGGAGTCGGTAGTGGTGTAGTAAGAGATGACATCGGTTTCAGTGTGGCTGCCAGAAGTGATAGTGGTGGTGACTGGAGCTGGAACACCAGAAGAAGTGACTGGGTAGGTGGTAGAAGTGGTAACTAATTCACCTTCAGAGTCGGTAGTGGTGTAGTAAGAGATGACATCGGTTTCAGTGTGGCTGCCAGAAGTGATAGTGGTGGTGACTGGAGCTGGAACACCAGAAGAAGTGACTGGGTAGGTGGTAGAAGTGGTAACTAATTCACCTTCGGAGTCGGTAGTGGTGTAGTAAGAGATGACATCGGTTTCAGTGTGGCTGCCAGAAGTGATAGTGGTGGTGACTGGAGCTGGAACACCAGAAGAAGTGACTGGGTAGGTGGTAGAAGTGGTAACTAATTCACCTTCAGAGTCGGTAGTGGTGTAGTAAGAGATGACATCGGTTTCAGTGTGGCTACCAGAAGTGATAGTGGTGGTGACTGGAGCTGGAACACCAGAAGAAGTGACTGGGTAGGTGGTAGAAGTAGTAACTAATTCACCTTCAGAGTCGGTAGTGGTGTAGTAAGAGATGACATCGGTTTCAGTGTGGCTACCAGAAGTGATAGTGGTGGTGACTGGAGCTGGAACACCAGAAGAAGTGACTGGGTAGGTGGTAGAAGTGGTAACTAATTCACCTTCAGAGTCGGTAGTGGTGTAGTAAGAGATGACATCGGTTTCAGTGTGGCTGCCAGAAGTGATAGTGGTGGTGACTGGAGCTGGAACACCAGAAGAAGTGACTGGGTAGGTGGTAGAAGTGGTAACTAATTCACCTTCAGAGTCGGTAGTGGTGTAGTAAGAGATGACATCGGTTTCAGTGTGGCTGCCAGAAGTGATAGTGGTGGTGACTGGAGCTGGAACACCAGAAGAAGTGACTGGGTAGGTGGTAGAAGTGGTAACTAATTCACCTTCAGAGTCGGTAGTGGTGTAGTAAGAGATGACATCGGTTTCAGTGTGGCTGCCAGAAGTGATAGTGGTGGTGACTGGAGCTGGAACACCAGAAGAAGTGACTGGGTAGGTGGTAGAAGTGGTAACTAATTCACCTTCAGAGTCGGTAGTGGTGTAGTAAGAGATGACATCGGTTTCAGTGTGGCTACCAGAAGTGATAGTGGTGGTGACTGGAGCTGGAACACCAGAAGAAGTGACTGGGTAGGTGGTAGAAGTGGTAACTAATTCACCTTCGGAGTCGGTAGTGGTGTAGTAAGAGATGACATCGGTTTCAGTGTGGCTACCAGAAGTGATAGTGGTGGTGACTGGAGCTGGAACACCAGAAGAAGTGACTGGGTAGGTGGTAGAAGTGGTAACTAATTCACCTTCAGAGTCGGTAGTGGTGTAGTAAGAGATGACATCGGTTTCAGTGTGGCTGCCAGAAGTGATAGTGGTGGTGACTGGAGCTGGAACACCAGAAGAAGTGACTGGGTAGGTGGTAGAAGTGGTAACTAATTCACCTTCAGAGTCGGTAGTGGTGTAGTAAGAGATGACATCGGTTTCAGTGTGGCTGCCAGAAGTGATAGTGGTGGTGACTGGAGCTGGAACACCAGAAGAAGTGACTGGGTAGGTGGTAGAAGTGGTAACTAATTCACCTTCAGAGTCGGTAGTGGTGTAGTAAGAGATGACATCGGTTTCAGTGTGGCTGCCAGAAGTGATAGTGGTGGTGACTGGAGCTGGAACACCAGAAGAAGTGACTGGGTAGGTGGTAGAAGTGGTAACTAATTCACCTTCAGAGTCGGTAGTGGTGTAGTAAGAGATGACATCGGTTTCAGTGTGGCTACCAGAAGTGATAGTGGTGGTGACTGGAGCTGGAACACCAGAAGAAGTGACTGGGTAGGTGGTAGAAGTGGTAACTAATTCACCTTCAGAGTCGGTAGTGGTGTAGTAAGAGATGACATCGGTTTCAGTGTGGCTGCCAGAAGTGATAGTGGTGGTGACTGGAGCTGGAACACCAGAAGAAGTGACTGGGTAGGTGGTAGAAGTGGTAACTAATTCACCTTCAGAGTCGGTAGTGGTGTAGTAAGAGATGACATCGGTTTCAGTGTGGCTGCCAGAAGTAATAGTGGTGGTGACTGGAGCTGGAACACCAGAAGAAGTGACTGGGTAGGTGGTAGAAGTGGTAACTAATTCACCTTCGGAGTCGGTAGTGGTGTAGTAAGAGATGACATCGGTTTCAGTGTGGCTGCCAGAAGTGATAGTGGTGGTGACTGGAGCTGGAACACCAGAAGAAGTGACTGGGTAGGTGGTAGAAGTGGTAACTAATTCACCTTCAGAGTCGGTAGTGGTGTAGTAAGAGATGACATCGGTTTCAGTGTGGCTACCAGAAGTGATAGTGGTGGTGACTGGAGCTGGAACACCAGAAGAAGTGACTGGGTAGGTGGTAGAAGTGGTAACTAATTCACCTTCAGAGTCGGTAGTGGTGTAGTAAGAGATGACATCGGTTTCAGTGTGGCTGCCAGAAGTGATAGTGGTGGTGACTGGAGCTGGAACACCAGAAGAAGTGACTGGGTAGGTGGTAGAAGTGGTAACTAATTCACCTTCAGAGTCGGTAGTGGTGTAGTAAGAGATGACATCGGTTTCAGTGTGGCTGCCAGAAGTGATAGTGGTGGTGACTGGAGCTGGAACACCAGAAGAAGTGACTGGGTAGGTGGTAGAAGTGGTAACTAATTCACCTTCAGAGTCGGTAGTGGTGTAGTAAGAGATGACATCGGTTTCAGTGTGGCTGCCAGAAGTAATAGTGGTGGTGACTGGAGCTGGAACACCAGAAGAAGTGACTGGGTAGGTGGTAGAAGTGGTAACTAATTCACCTTCGGAGTCGGTAGTGGTGTAGTAAGAGATGACATCGGTTTCAGTGTGGCTGCCAGAAGTGATAGTGGTGGTGACTGGAGCTGGAACACCAGAAGAAGTGACTGGGTAGGTGGTAGAAGTGGTAACTAATTCACCTTCGGAGTCGGTAGTGGTGTAGTAAGAGATGACATCGGTTTCAGTGTGGCTGCCAGAAGTGATAGTGGTGGTGACTGGAGCTGGAACACCAGAAGAAGTGACTGGGTAGGTGGTAGAAGTGGTAACTAATTCACCTTCGGAGTCGGTAGTGGTGTAGTAAGAGATGACATCGGTTTCAGTGTGGCTACCAGAAGTGATAGTGGTGGTGACTGGAGCTGGAACACCAGAAGAAGTGACTGGGTAGGTGGTAGAAGTGGTAACTAATTCACCTTCAGAGTCGGTAGTGGTGTAGTAAGAGATGACATCGGTTTCAGTGTGGCTGCCAGAAGTGATAGTGGTGGTGACTGGAGCTGGAACACCAGAAGAAGTGACTGGGTAGGTGGTAGAAGTGGTAACTAATTCACCTTCGGAGTCGGTAGTGGTGTAGTAAGAGATGACATCGGTTTCAGTGTGGCTACCAGAAGTGATAGTGGTGGTGACTGGAGCTGGAACACCAGAAGAAGTGACTGGGTAGGTGGTAGAAGTGGTAACTAATTCACCTTCAGAGTCGGTAGTGGTGTAGTAAGAGATGACATCGGTTTCAGTGTGGCTGCCAGAAGTGATAGTGGTGGTGACTGGAGCTGGAACACCAGAAGAAGTGACTGGGTAGGTGGTAGAAGTGGTAACTAATTCACCTTCAGAGTCGGTAGTGGTGTAGTAAGAGATGACATCGGTTTCAGTGTGGCTGCCAGAAGTGATAGTGGTGGTGACTGGAGCTGGAACACCAGAAGAAGTGACTGGGTAGGTGGTAGAAGTGGTAACTAATTCACCTTCAGAGTCGGTAGTGGTGTAGTAAGAGATGACATCGGTTTCAGTGTGGCTGCCAGAAGTGATAGTGGTGGTGACTGGAGCTGGAACACCAGAAGAAGTGACTGGGTAGGTGGTAGAAGTGGTAACTAATTCACCTTCAGAGTCGGTAGTGGTGTAGTAAGAGATGACATCGGTTTCAGTGTGGCTGCCAGAAGTGATAGTGGTGGTGACTGGAGCTGGAACACCAGAAGAAGTGACTGGGTAGGTGGTAGAAGTGGTAACTAATTCACCTTCAGAGTCGGTAGTGGTGTAGTAAGAGATGACATCGGTTTCAGTGTGGCTACCAGAAGTGATAGTGGTGGTGACTGGAGCTGGAACACCAGAAGAAGTGACTGGGTAGGTGGTAGAAGTGGTAACTAATTCACCTTCAGAGTCGGTAGTGGTGTAGTAAGAGATGACATCGGTTTCAGTGTGGCTACCAGAAGTGATAGTGGTGGTGACTGGAGCTGGAACACCAGAAGAAGTGACTGGGTAGGTGGTAGAAGTGGTAACTAATTCACCTTCAGAGTCGGTAGTGGTGTAGTAAGAGATGACATCGGTTTCAGTGTGGCTGCCAGAAGTGATAGTGGTGGTGACTGGAGCTGGAACACCAGAAGAAGTGACTGGGTAGGTGGTAGAAGTGGTAACTAATTCACCTTCAGAGTCGGTAGTGGTGTAGTAAGAGATGACATCGGTTTCAGTGTGGCTGCCAGAAGTGATAGTGGTGGTGACTGGAGCTGGAACACCAGAAGAAGTGACTGGGTAGGTGGTAGAAGTGGTAACTAATTCACCTTCGGAGTCGGTAGTGGTGTAGTAAGAGATGACATCGGTTTCAGTGTGGCTGCCAGAAGTAATAGTGGTGGTGACTGGAGCTGGAACACCAGAAGAAGTGACTGGGTAGGTGGTAGAAGTGGTAACTAATTCACCTTCGGAGTCGGTAGTGGTGTAGTAAGAGATGACATCGGTTTCAGTGTGGCTGCCAGAAGTGATAGTGGTGGTGACTGGAGCTGGAACACCAGAAGAAGTGACTGGGTAGGTGGTAGAAGTGGTAACTAATTCACC